CCCTCCCCTCCCCTCCCCTCCCCTCCCCTCCCTGCAATCTAGGTTTTTACTTTTTGTGTGTCATTAGTTAACAAAATAACAGGAAGGAAAAAAAAATTATATCCCACATTAGTCCCCACCACTCCCCTCCATGCAATATAGGTTTTTACTTTTTGTGTGTCATTAGTTAACAAAATAACAGGAAGGAAAAAAATTATACCCCACATTAGTCCCCACCACAGTAACCATTAAGTCCTGGTATGGTCTCTTAATAGAAAATATACATCTACTATGCAATGACCTGGGAAGACATGAAAGTCAGTGAAGTCTTGGACAGTGCATTTTCTTTCCAGCAATTTCAATAGTCTTTAGAACCTATTCAAAATTTACAAGGTGCTTTTTACAACTCCTGAATTTAAACTTAATGACTTACAATGAAATTGCAGTGATTCAAAGAAACAAAACAAGTTACAGGCTTTTTACAGAAGAGTCTAAAGTTTTCCTCTTTTTGTGACAATTCATAAATATATAAAAGAAAATTATTTTGGCTAATAATTAAGTCATAAAGTGATAATATATTTAATTTTGAGACTTCTTGAAGACCTCCTGAAAAATCAGAAATATGAGTTACGGCATTAGGATTTCCACAACCCTCTGAAAAGAATTATTTCTTGTTACAGACAAGACAACAATTTTAACTTATTATTTTATTAGCAAAAATAATTTGTATTTATAATTTAATTCTATTCATAATTCCAAACTGTTGTTAACTTTGCAGGTTTTCTAATAACCTCTGTGACCTTTGTTCCTGAATTTTGAGAACCTACAATAAATAAATCATGGTGGCTTAACCTGTTTAAAAATATGTGTCAAGTAGTCAAACACTCTGCTTACACCTTCCCCACTTACTCAAAGCCTCCTAACACAAATGCACAAAGCTGACAGGATTTTTTTACACAAAAAATACACTAGGAATAAAAAATTGAAAATTAAAACCTAAATAATACAAATGGCTTTTTCACTTATTTGCTTATTCACAGTCTATTGTTTAATACTATGACAATCTTTAAGCAGTCTTCTACCACACTGAAAAAAGGAAATGAGCAGCTGGTGCTAGTGCCAAAAACAAGTGGAAAAAAAGATATTACAGCCAGAAAGAGAAAGTAGGATTTAACTCTTCCCTGCTGTATGGCTTCAAACTGAAAGAGAGTAGATTTAGATTAGACATTGGGAAAAAAAATCTTTCCTGTGAGGGTGGGAAGGCCCTGCCCAGAGCAGCTGTGGCTGCCCCTGGATCCCTGGAAGTGTCCAAGGCGAGGCTTGATGGGGCTTGGTGCACCCTGGAATAGTGGAAGGTGTCCTTGCCATGGTAGGGGGTGGAACAAGGTGGTCTCTAAGGTGCCTTCCAACCCAAACCATTCTATGATATATTTATGGATCACAAATAGACACATATAGACAAATGTTACAGAATTTCTGAGAGAGAGAGGGCATGATTTATGTTTGGAATGAGAATTGAGCTACCCACTCAGACTAGGCCCCTGATAAGCAGCCTTGATTGCACTTAGAAAACTTTGATGCAGTGAAAATTCAGTTGTGGCACAGTTAGAAATTATGTTAAGGTAACTACAAAGTAATGAGCTATCCGAGTGTGAATTAGAGTAGAGCTGCAGTGTGAAAAGCCTGACCACCTTAAGGCAATGATAAACAAAGTTAGCTTGCCAATGAGAGTGCCTTTGTAAACTGTAAACTATATAGAAATGTATATACACTGCCATCTTCCCTTGAATAAAGGGAGAACGTTGCATTAATCATATTGGTTGGATGTGTGTTCTGTCTTGTCCAGCTTTCCTGTTTTATGAGGTCCCTGGCTTTGGACAAATGCTCATAGAAATCTATGTTTTAAAAAGTTGTAGTTGATCTAATAACATATATGAAATGCTAAGACAATCAGGAAGAGATCTAGCAACAACAGATTCATATCTGCCTTCATTATGTAATGAAGATTTTTCTGCAGAATACAGGACCCAGCAAATGGCTTAGTGGTCTAGAAATTCTGATTTACAGTTATTCCAGTTTGACTCCAACAAATGCACTGACTGTAGCCTGGCAGCAGAGATTGGAGCCTGTGAGGTTTGCTGCCTTTACCACACACAGTGGCTGTGTCAGTGACCAAATATTTCCTTCTGGCTTCAGCACTGTGCCCTGACCACATCAGCAGCTCTCCCTCACAGCCCTCCTGTCTCTCCTCTCATTCCCCTCAAGTAAGAAGTTATAGTCTGATGTTTCTCAACAAAAATAGGACAGACTAGTAAGTAAGACCACAGGCAGTTTTTACACTTCCCTGGCTGCTTCTGCATGAAAGGGCTTTGAGGAAAGCTCACCAAGGGAATCAAAGTGTGCCTTCCAGCAGGGAAGCTCCAGAGAGACCGAATTTTTCAGTGTGACTTCTGTAAATCCCACTAACTTCTCAATCAGAAATGCCTGCCCAAATGAAAACACCACTGAAAAAAAAGATTCACAAACATACGTGAATGAGAAAAATTGCTGCAGGGGTCAAGAGAGAAAAATAAATCTATGTAAAAGATTTTGGTAAAATAAAATTAACACACTGGCGTCTCCCAAGACCACCCATGACCACAGCTATATCCAAAGACCGAATTTCCCAAGACCATATAAGATGCCATGTGCTGTAGAGTCAATGGTGTTACAAAGAGACATTGACAGAGTCATGTATTACACACAAAAATCACTAGAGAGTTTGGAGTGAGGAAAAACTGGGAGTTGTTTTTCCTGTATTTTAAATTAAAGGGTTTGAAATGTCTTTCTAGTCTGACTTTAAAAAATAAAAATTATAACTTCCCTGAAAGTAATCATAGATAAAGGGAGGAAGAAATTATTTAGGCATATTATTGCAAACATCATCCTTAAAACAGAGTTCACATAGAAATATAAGCAAAACCTTTAGAAATTTAGCATTTAGTGAAAGAGTTCAGCTGTGTCTCTAAGATTAGTAAAACTCTGTAAGCAGGGCTTTCTTTTTAGCCCCTTCTAGATCTGCCAGCAGCTTTTTCAAAGGAAAAGGAAGGATTCTGTCTGCTCTTGCTGTCTTTCAGTGCAGTGGTGAAGGAAGAGAGCAGAAACTGAGGATTTGTAAGCTTGTATCTTCACAGAAGATAGGCAGGAATGAAATGTTGAGAGGACCAAAGTGACGACTCAAGCTCAGTTATATCCTTAGAACAAGCAAGATATTTTTGTGTTGAAGTAATGGTTGATTTAGTTTATGGAGAGGATTGGTTATTTTTCCTCATTTTACATCCATTCCTGTATCTGAGAGCTTTCTACATTTAACTGCAGTACATTTCCGTCTCATCCCTTCAAGCAGATATCTGTGACAGAAGGAATCACCATCTCAATTAATTATAATATTAGCAATTCCAGTAAGAACAAAATAATTAATCTCTCTGTAGATGAAATATATGGAAGAGCTCTCAGTAGT